ACAAATCAAGTGAATTAACAATAAGAATTTTTGTCATGCACGTTGAAAATTGGTCATGGCCTACTGAAATATTGTTCCCGAAAGATTAATCTGCTGATATCATGTGACTTCAGAAACTCAAATATTTCGAAAACTGTTCCTATTTGGTATTTTGATGAGAGTATGATTTGTTATATTTTTTTTGCTTTATCAAATGCTCCTTTTTTTTCATCCAAACGAATACAAATACAAAATCATGACCCACCCTCTGAAAACACCCCTCATAGCGATATCATAAACGTAAAAGTTTATAAGAAAAATGTATTTTGACAGCATGCAGGTCAGAGGATTCCAATCTTGTGGCATCCACGGTTTGGAAGGTATGCCAAAAGATATTAAAATTTCATCAACACTTTGGAGCCATCTATCAACGTGCACTCATTTTTCAACGTACTATTTATCACCTCCAGAAAACTCGGTATATGTCGGCGTCAATTAGTGATATCCGCGTCATTTCCAGAAATGCCTAGTCATTTCACGTATTGTCAGCAAACAGCGTAACAGCGTAACTTCCATTTTCAGCCGTGACTCTGTTTTCCGGAGGGTTGACGAAGGAAAATATCCTTTCTGCATATGCAAAAGAAGGGAGACTATTTTTCCGCCTAAATGAACATTCTTCCTAGACAGTATATTTTCCAAAAAATCACTTGAGAGAACAGAAGAGACTACTGCTTCTAGACAACCTAGGCTGACTCGGCCCAAATGATCCTCCTGCCGTCATTACAGGGAATGCCTGAAACTATTAGGCAAACGGTGTACGAAATTTAGAGTTATATACGCTGTTTGCCGACAATACGTGAAATGACTAGACATTCCAGAGAATGACGGATTTCACTGTTTGACGCCGACATATACATTTTTGACTCACCTTGTATACCGAAGGTCCAAGAACTCATTTTTGTGATTTTAGGGTACCATCGATGTCCGAACTGTACTAAGCCATACCAACACCTAACGTCCCTGAAGTCTCATCTGAAGTTTGACTGTGGTCAAGAGCCAAGATTCAAGTGCGATTTCTGTGAGCTCAAAATGAAACGAAAACATCATCTACTGAGTCACATCCTGATGTTGCATAGAGACAAGGAAATTCCAGAGAAACTCAGAACCAGGAGTAAAAGAAATAGTATATCATGAATTATATGGCTGTATCATCACATAGGTATCTGTAATCCTGCCGATATAGCGATGGTTTTGAATAAGAGCTGACTCTGTTGCTAGGATGAGTTGAACAGTGCAAAATGAGATGAAAATCATCATCGCTATATTATAATAATAGTAGCTTTATTGTCCAACAGCTACCTATTTACAGGACAGTATCACAGAATATGTTGTGAAATAGATTAAGTGTGATAAGTAAGATATAATAAATATGGTAAGACTTATCACATAATTATTAGTCTATGGCATCGAATTCACAATTTTAACGAAGTAATTGATGCCACGACTGTTGACGAAATGTTGAATGAATGAAAAATATATACATAGATACTGCAAAGAAAGCTACATCAAACTTTCTCTACGATGCTAAGAGGAGCATTTCTTCTAAATGTAAATTCTAGAAGATCACGATTCATCCTGATAATCAAATAATATTAACTGAGAACTCAATAAGGGATTTTGGAAAAATGACAAAAATCATTATACTGCTGATGAAATAAGATTTGATTGTTTGCGAATGGAACTGATAGATTTTACATCGATGTGGAAACGACTGTCGAGTACTTCATCAGAAGACATGATGGATGGTGGAACTTGTGTCTTCGATGTAGAAGAAGAATTGATTTTATCAAAACAAAAGCTTTGCAAGAAATGTCCATTTGGAGCTAATATAGTAGCTGCACGAATTCAAGTTATACGTCGAGGCAAATCCAAATTCAAAGAAAATTCATAAATTCATCCTTACCCTTTCAGTTTCGCAGGTATCGTGTGAAAGATCTTTCTCAATATTGAAAGTTATTCTGAATAGTCTGTAAGAAATTCTCTGAGCCAAGAAAATTTGGAGGATTCCATGATGTTGAGGTGCGAAAAACACATTTAAAATCAATAGGAAGCGATGATATCATTTTCGATCCCGTTGAAAAATGTGGATCCACGAGAGGTTTACTCGTCTTCAAATTTAATTTTTTCATTCAATGTTCCTGACTCTCTATATCCTCAAATTCATTCATCAAAGTGCTTTATGTTCCTCTGTTACAGAAATATCGTTCATTTTATTTAATTTCATTTTTTATCTATATATAGAATGTTATTTATGTTATTTATTTCATGTTTTTTAGAACATTGGATGGTTTATCGACAGTTTTTTTCTTTGAGTTTTATTATAATGAAAACCATTCGTAATTTTCTTTTTCGCTTTCTTCTCAATGCTACCAAAATTTATAATGAGATTACATGAATAGCTATATAGCTTTAAAATTTTCTCCGGAGGGGGGGCCGGTAGAGTTTAATTCACCCCTGAGTGATTGCACATTACATAGATGGGTGAGTTGAGCATACTATTTGTACTGATTGCTCGTGTGTTTCTGAAGGTAACAGAATTGCGGTTGGGCTAGAATGGAACGTTGAAGCTCAGCTAAGGAAATTGGTCCCTAATTTCTCTTAGTTTTGAAATTCAGTTATTGGATTTTTTTATATTATTCAGCAAAATATTTTGTCAATTCTAAATACGATTTGGTTGATCGAGGAAAATATATTGTTATTTTGACATATTCACTCTCTGAAAAACTGAAAATTTCGTCACTTGAATGAAATGATTTAATCATTTCAATCAACTGAATCGTTTATAAGAGCAGGATATTGTATTATAGGAACAAAATAGTCTTTGTTCATTCAACCAATTCCTGCTGTTAATTTGAATCATTAATGAGTTACATCAAATGAATTTTGAATTGAAAACTGACAAAAAATATTTGTTGCGGTGACAAAATATTTTGTCGTGGATATATGACACTCAGATTTTGTTGAATTTGTTGTTGAATGAAAATTTTGTAGTTTCAAAAGATTTTTTTTTCTGTGTACTAAATATTTTCGAACATCTGAGGCGATCCATCTTACAGTGGAGTGAAGGCAATAGGACAGGACAAAATTCTTACAGTCGAATTCACCAAAGCTATACTTTTACATTTACATTTACATTTTTCGAAGCTTTAAAGTTTCATCATCAGCATTATTGTTGCATAGGAGTACTAAAGTGAGTAAATATTTTCGAAATCCTCTCTGACGAGATAACGAAATTTCGAACATGTATATTACTTTTTTATGTCAGATTTGGAGATGTTGAGAAATTTCCGAAACTCTTATCAGAGGCGTGGAAAATAAGCGGGGCAAGCTAGGGACATTTCTTCCCCCAACTCTTTTTCTATGGCATTTTTGGCAGTTTGAGAAGAAAATATAAGAATGTCATAATTTTTACATGAAGATGATTCTATTGTTCAGTTGCTAGTTGCAATAGCACTAACCATTTCCGAGATAAATCAAGTCTGCTCATCTGCTGCGTAACAAAAATAGTGCTTTTTCCTCAGAATTGGGTTCCAAAATTTTTCTAAAAATTATGTTCTGATGGAAAATACCCTTTCTTCAACATCTACTTGTGATGTTCGATTAGAAATATGGAAGAAACAATGAAATAAAAATGAATTGAAAAATATTAAGAGTTATGAGGTTTACACCCTATGAAGAAAGAGAACTATTTTCATTACGCAGAACAATTTTGAGAGTATTATTTTCACGTAGAAATTATGACTTTTTCATATTTCTTGGTCAAACTGCCGAGAATTGCATAGAACAAAAATTTGGGAAATAAATTCTTCACTCCCCTGATCAAAATTTTGAAATTTCTCATAAACATTTCCAAATCGGGCATGAACAGTAATATTCATATACAAAATGTCGTTACCTAATCACGAAGAGTTTCAGAAATATTCACAAAAAAACATCCGAGATGATGTTTTTCCTCTTTCAGATGGCTTTAACTCCCCATCAGGGAGCCAATTCTTGGCTTATATTCACGTAAACTTTTTCGACCATTATTGTTCCTAGAAGCTGTGACTGAAATATTTCCATGTAATTTCGGGACACCCTGTATATATTTCAACACCTTGTATCATCAATATAAATGCCTTTACGAACATTTTGCACCGATGAGTTTCATATTCAAAACGTCATTATAACAAGTTTTGAAACACAAGAACTTTAACTATCATAATTATCTTGAAGAGAAGTGGAAGTTGTTTCGGTTATAGAAAATACTGCAAAGTAAGTGGGGCACAGGAGTTTTTTCTTTCCATATCCTTGTGCATTATTATGATAGAAGGTATCCTGAGTTGTAAGAAATATGAAATATCATTAATATATATGACATCTAAACACTCGAAATAAGGTGATATCAGTGGCTTTGAATAGATCCTTTGAATTTATGTCGGAAGAAAGATTCAAATAAATTGGCAAGTGGAAAAAGGGGTTTAGTAACATTTTCTGAAAGTATTCGGTTATGTCATATCTGAGCAGATACACAGTGGTATTGCCTACATGTCAGGAAATGAAAGAAGGGGTTATGTACGCCTAAATCCAGATGTCTGTCAAAAAATTATATGATAGCAAAATGCTGTGAATCCTGAGAATTCAACCTGAAACTATTTCTCACAATTGCATAAATCAGATTAATTAACTTGCTTACATTAAAACTAAAAGCTATTTTTCTCACAAACTCATTTTCGTAACATAACTCCTTCTATTGCCCCTTCAATTATCATTGAGCACTTTGTCTACGAATGTGTTCTTTAGTCATGGGTGGAAAAAACATGTAAATATACTTCTTCTCTCTCTTTTCTTCAGTTGGGATATCGGATAAGACCAGGTATTCGCGTTTTCTGAATTCAAATATAGAACTAACAACTCAAGTTTCAGATGAAACTACCACAGAAGATGCTTGGCCTTCTCACCTAATACTCCCCATGATGATAATGAGAGAAACCATGAAGGAATCAATGCCAAGAACGAAGAACTCCAGGTCATCAAACGACTCCGAAAAGGCTTTCATCTGCGGAGATTGCGGCAGGAGTTACAAGGTCAGGAGTTCTCTGTTCAATCACAGGAAATGGGAATGCGGCAAAGAACCAAGATTCAAGTGCCCTTACTGCACCTACAAGGCCAAACAGAAAGTGCACATGATCAGACATCTGCGGAAGACTCATAACGTGGAGGATTTCGCAGACATCAATTCATTGATCATCAATAATGTGGATGAAGTGAAGAAGGAGAAGGTTGTCTTGCCAAAGGATAGTAAAACTACTGACGGTTGATGAAATGATGATAGGATGCCAGGTGTTTCTGAAAAGGTGTCACGAACTTCCATCATCAGGGTTAAAGTATATTCGCGAAAGTATAAAAGTATTATTGTTAGTCTGAGTCTGACTCTGATTCACAAATAATCCACGAATACGTTGTAAATCTCCTAGAAATCTGGCATCCGTGTATTGTTTTGCCAACTTGAATCAGTAATGCGATTACTACACTATTTTCGGTTGTATTTGATGAACCGTGAATTATATTCCAGAATAGTCACTTTTTTTTTTTAGAAAGCATCAATGGGAGAGTGCATGGACCATTTTTGTTATTTCTTGAATAGGAGCATCACTCACATTTGTGTGAATAATCATCATATTCATTCACACTAGAGGACATTTGGATCGATGAACGTGATGACAACACCGCGCACGACTTGTGGGCGTGGTCTTGTCAGTTCTCAGCATTCAGCACAATGTTTGCAAAGTCTCCAACATTCACATGATATTCTGTTATGGAGAATGAGAAATATTTGGACACGTTTGATGCTCGTAAAAGTCAAGAATGAACTATAATATCATGAGTTCCTCCCATTATGTTTTATTCATTGGCACATCTTCTTGATAGCTTGATTCCGATTGGTGACTTGACAACCTTGCACCATGAGTGGTAATGGACATAAACATGTTGCGAGATGGCGGCCATGAAGGTTCGTTTGAAATGAGCTCTGAAATTCAACAATCTCGACTCGACTCATTATTCACATAAAAAAGGTGTGAGAATTGTTATTTATTTAGGTTCCTAACGACACAGTGTAGTAATTGAATGCCTATAATTCATTAAAATTCCACTGGCCCATTAATGTTTTCTGAGATTCAGTTGATTATTGTGGAATACAAATGATACTACCCAAAATACGAGTGACTATTCTGAAATACAGTTAACGCTTTCTGAAATTGAATTGACCCTTCTTGGAATACACCTGGAAAAGGTGTAGCATTTTTACTAGTGCAGTAATGACACGACTTATTCACCAAGTAGGACTCTACTTGGATTGACCAGTGACTTTGTAGCACCTTTTCAGAAAGGATGTACAGGAAGGTTGACACTATATCACGTCAGTTATCACTCAATATTATTGATATTATTTTCTGAATTAGTTTAATTTATGATTTGAGTAAACGATCAAATTCTATACTATATAATAAATATAGATACAGACGACAGTTATTCCAAATGAATAATTATTAATAGTAATGTATCATTTATTATCATTTTAGGTCTCTGTGACATTTTTCCGCATGTATATCAATCACATTCCATATCATAGCTTATTTCCCTAGAATATCTCAGTCTTGAGATTTTCGGTTCCTCATAGCTTATTTTTCACACAATAGAGTTTCTACTTATCGATTTGACTAGTTCTTTATAAATAGCAGAATGATAATAGCTATGGCATGGGGAACTTGAATATTGCTTTTGTAAATGATACTCTTAGGCAAAAATTCAAATGATTTATATCAACAGAAACCAGTGCCTTATCGTCTCATCGTACTTGGTCCAAGGTTATTGTTTCCAGATAAATCTATTGCTGATAGTGCAATCAAAGGAGATCTTTTCCCTTTATATCCTTTTCTCTCTAGATGGATATTGAGGAAGATATACAGAATATAATAAGGATTGAGTCGTATGTTTGCTTAATATCAAACTGATATTTCAAATGTATGAAAAACCATGGAATAATGACGAATATTCTTTGAGAATTCTCTTGGGGGTGAAGAGAGCAGGGTTTGAATGAGAGTTCAATCAAACGGGTGTACATATAAGCTATCTGTGTGAGTCACAAATACGAATTTGATACATCAGGTATGTCAGGAGAAATTATTTTACTAACTGCAATGGGGTATATCTTCATTATCCATTTTGAAAATGAGGTCAAAATTATCATCAACTTCATCTTTGGATGTACTATCAACTCAAGATATATCAGGGACAATCCTAGACCACCTTGTATAAATCTATTTCTATTTTTTATTAATTGTATACAGGGTAGCCAAGGAAACAATATATATGATAACAATTTTGGAATTTAGTGATTCCAAATAATTGAAAGGCTTGTTTATTTCATAATAATGACTTGAATGTGAAACACGATTGTCTATTTAAGATCATCAAATTCTGAAAGTTCATTTCGAAACAAATACTGCCAAACTTTCAGTATAATTGTGGTTTACATATTCTATGAAATTGAGTATTCAGACCAGATTCACTGGAATTTTCACCAGATGATAGTTGAAGTTTGGTTGGATTATTATTTTAGAGTTATGTTTTGTGTAGATCTATACAGAGGGTATCCCATTCAAAAAGAATTAACGAAAGGGAGCACCTACCCAAATTCAAAAATCGACCCACTATCATCCTCAGGGTTGTACACGGTGTCTTTGTTCAGATGGGATACCCTATGCATTTCGGAATACGTTTATATTACATTGTTCTCAATATGTTTATCCATTGTTGAGAATTATTATTGTTAATAAAATTGTTAATGGATGATGCTTACCTACTTGAATTTACAGGTGGAGGAATGTAGAATTGTTTAGAGGAATTGATATAAAATTAAGTGTTTATCGATTGTCAGAAATATTTCAGTATGAGTTTTGGATGGTGAAGATTTTTTTGAGGAAATCGTTTCAACCGCCTATCTGAAAATTTTCATAATTTCTTATGTTCTCATACTAAGAAAAATATAAAGTATAGTCCATCCAATGTCAGTTGGAGCGTTTGTCAGTTATACAATGAATTGATGTTTATCATACATTGCGTGGAAAAAATGTTAAATTGAACAAACCCAATCTGTGGAAGTCTGACACGTGCACGGAATTCAAATGTACTTTGGATGAAAATTGAATCAATGTTAACAAAATCCACAATTCATATCAAAATAGTGAAATAACCTAGATAATCTGATTTTCTTGTGTCTCATTGTACTTTATTGGAAATAGGAAGAAATATTATTTGACGACATTCATGATTTACTATACGATATAAGTATCTGCCGAATCACATTGATATTGAATATTATCGAGATTATACTGGACGAGAATGAAATCACAATCTACAATAACCACGTATTCATGGAAGCAGAACCATCCTCAGTGTTTTCATTGGGAAGAGGTTCATTATTTGGTGTCGGTTTTGGAAACTGATGAGATTTTATAAACTTATTAAGTGAAAACGAACAGTTGATAAAACGACATACTCGTACTTTAACAGAAATGACCATCAATGATCAAAAAGCTGTATCAAATTAAAGAACTCAAGCAGAGCACAATGACGATTCTCAATATAATGCTCAAATTGACTGCAAACAATCATGTTCGAACATTCCTGAATACATCTGGCATTATCAATCGTTATTTCTTCACTGTTCTCTGACGAAACACCTCTAGCGTTTTAGGCTAACGGTTTTAGATCAGGGGATATTGAAGGCCATCTGATGGTACTTCTTCCACCAATCCAGCGCCAATAATTCCGTTGACTCCCAACCGATTTTCAAAATAGATACCTGTGTTTCTGCAATGAAATTTGCTTCGAAATAGTTGTATAGATAGTAGGGTTAATTCAATTCGAAATGTTGAAGTTGGAGTCTCTAGGGGTTGGAAGGATGCACATATCAATATACAAAAATGCTGCCTTCAAGAACAGAAATGAATTGATAGGAGCATATTCCTCAAAAAAGTGATTTTATAAATGTTTTTCTGTTCGGGCATATTTTTTTTATGAGGAATAGATAATATCAACAATTTGAAATATAGACCATTATATAAGTTTTCTGTTGATCCGACGCAACCTACCAAGAGTCTTTTAACTTCAAGTTACTCCATCAGTGTTTTAACAAACAAAACAATTATATATTCTGATAATTTAATATCAAGAATCTCAAAAAACTTCCTCGGTAATGGAATATAAGAATTAATTATGAAGAAACATATTATTGTTAAATTGATTATGTTTAGAATATGAACAATGTTTATCTTTATTACAATTAAAAATGTTATATTTTATTGTTGCCAATTTCATTTACACTATTGTGATTGATAATTTCACCATCACAGACAGAAAATATACCATATGTCCCAAAATTTATGGAGCAGGAGCAGGAGCAGGAGCAGGAGCAGAAGTTTGAAATGTGTAGCACACGTTGAGGTTTCTTTCATGACGTTTGATTTATTGTGATTTCCAACTATCTTAATGACACCCATCCTAACATCAAATTTTATGCAGAGTATTCCAAATATAGAGATTCATATAGTATATATTATGTAGTTCTTGTATTGCCTTGTTGAACAAAAGGAAGAATCTGTACCTATATACCGGATGTTCCAGAGCTTTTGGGCCAGCGAATATCTGGGTTATCTAACATACAAACAAATTTGAGGTAATTGTGGAATATTTATGTGTATGGAAGCGGAAGCTCTCTCCCATGTCATTGGTATATCATGTCATGTGTCGGTGTCATGGTTCTGTGTTATAATTCAATTTCCATATTGTTTCAAAAAATTATTGATTTTTCCTATATGTACAGGAATTAATCGTTTATACAGTGGGAAATGAATTCCATATCTTCATAACAAAAATGTATATTGAAGATTTCTCGGCCAGGGCGATTTTAATTTGCGAAAATCAATTCTTTACATGAATATTTTCGACGACCTGTCTCCTCTCACGCTACAGAACAAAACACCTTCAAAATTTTCTAAATTGAACCAGGGATCAAGTTGGGCCTTGATGTATTTCAAATATCTATTCTAAGTCTTATTTTTCAAGAGAGTATAGTTGCAACAATAGAAATGTATTGAAATATTTGTCGAAATTTTTGGTGATGGTAGGCACTCTTCTATTGTATCACTTGTACAGTTATAGTTATCCTACATTTGAAATAGTTGTTTCATATTGAATGTCCGTCTACGACGTCTATGTACAATGATACAGTACCTACCATCACATTGTATGTATG